TTTTACAAATATTGCTGTGGTCCAGTGGCCCACATAATGCATCCTCTACTATTTGGGATCATCGTAGCTTGTTGGTGGACGAGGAATAACTTCAAGTGTACTCTTTTTTTTACTATAGACTACAAATAATGGTATTGGTTATTGAAATTAAAAAGCGCGTCCACGAAAGGGGAGGGACGGTTGCACAACTGTAAAAAAAGACGAGAGTAATATGCCTGAACCAGTACACAAAGCCATATCGGCTGTTGACGTGCACAAAAGGTAGGTATAAATTCAAGCAGTTTTTTTTTACTCTGATGAAAGAGATCAAAAAATTAGGATCTTAAGCACCGATTGCAAGAAGTTGGGATGAGGTAGAAACACATTATCACAGCCAAAAAGGGCATGTGTAAATGTGCCTTGGCACATAGAAGAGCATCGGAAAATAAAGAAACCATGCCTGGGATAATCTGCCGACAGGGGGGGGCATGATATTTATTTTGCTACGGTTTTAAATGCCTACATAAAGCTAATATATGTTAGAAAAATACATAAAAGCACGGGGTTTTAAAGGAACCTATACTCACGAAAATCAGCCTATGAAAGGAGGGCTCATATTTTCCTTACGCAAAGCCCTCTTTCATTTTTTCAAGACGATCTGATTTTGCGTGCTGAAAGGTTTTAGGACCGTGCTGCGTTTATATTTATTCTGGGAGTTCTTACGTGTTGTCCACCTACGGGAAAGCAACTTCAAAATTTACTACATATTATCGTGGAAATGTGCCAAGCACCACACTGCGCAGAAGGAATAAAATAAACTGCAAGTCTACCCATAATCCAAGTCTACAATTAATTTTCAATGCGTCCGAAACTTGCCAAGAGGATAATTAAAGAAGGCAACCATAAAATAGTTATCTCTACCTATCCAATCTAGGCAAATTTAACTAATTTAGTTAAAAGTAACTTATTGCGAGAATATTTTTGTAACAAATGTAATAACCCTGTGCTGCACAGAATAATGCCGGTGACTGAAAAAACGTCGATAGGACACAGCATTTTAAGTGATATGTGCACTTTCTTGTATTGTGAAAGGCCTTAAATACTTAACATTGAATAACTTTTCAGATTATCATAACAGACTTGAAAAGAAACGTTTCGGTAGCGTGATATAATGGACAAAAAGCCTTGTAGTGGCTTCAATGGCAAGCTTGAATGGTACTTGCTCCTCCTAATATATTCAGCCAACTTACGAAGAAGCCAAAAAGTACATGATCGTCAAACGCAACGCAAAGACCGTCGTGCAGTCTCTTCAATAGACACGCGGTAAATTGAAGATAGGTATCAATATAATTCTCATGTTTCCCGAATATAATACTGCACGGAAATCCCAAAAGTTTGCCGTTAAAAACCCCGATGGTTTAATACGTCAAAGATCGTCAAATACCAGCTGACCATCTTACAGCTTGATCATGGGATCAATTCAGCAGATGCTTCCTAAAGCCGTTCTTATAATATAAAGTCAGCAGTCGAGCTGATGAAATTCATTTTCATTGCGGAAGGATTAATTAAGGTGAGTTGTAATAGTAATCATTGTGAACATAATCATATGGGAAGGCGGACAGGACAGGATGTCGGCTTTTGAATGTCTTCCTCTTCGACCGCCAGCAAAGGCCACATTTGGCAAAAACGATCTATAAGGTTGTATACATTTTTGTATTGATTTTCGATGTTTCTTTGCGTTTAAATAAATTTTGTAGAAAACATTGCAAAGATGTCCATTCTTGTGTCCATCTGACAGTTAATCATGCCTTTCTGAAACCGTATATATGGTAAAAAGCTATCTTTTGCTGTTAAAAACGTTTAAGATTTTTGAGAATTTAAGGACCGTAAAATGTCTATTGAAATAGCATTGCCTCGGTCCGTTTATAAATGCTGCTCACGAAGTAAATAATACAAGTCATATCTATTGCAAAATGTCATGAGCACTATATCGTGCCTTCTGAATAGATAACAGGAATTTATGATTTTTCTTAGACCGAATACATGACCTTTTTATACGAAAATCCTAAAACGCAACTACAACGGCAGATAAGGATAAAAAATATCCCAGAATTAGAAATATTCTCAAGTTCATCTATGGATATATCGCGTTTATCGTCTTCCAAGGAAGAGGAAGAGGGGGCGGGTTCGTGGACCAAATTATATTTGGACTGATGTTTCAAAAGCAAACTCGCTTCTTTCGTCAGAGTACCGTGCTTACTGTTCCGTGGGCCTTAAGTGAAATCGCCTTGCCGCAAGCAGAAACTCAAACGAGAACACATCAGTGAGCTCCTTGAACTGTGTCTGAAGACATTTTTTACATTCAACGGCAAGGTGCCCGAGCAGAAGAAGGTAACACCAATGGGCTTTCCTCTGTCAGGACTCATTGCCGAAGCAGTTCTACAGAGGTTCGAACAGCTATTCTTCAGCTCGGACCCCCCGAAGTTCTGGGCCCGATACGTCGATGACACATTCATCATACTAAAGAGGAGTCATGTGCAAGCTTTCAAGGTGTTGCTGAATTTAATCTTTCCCGACATCCAGTTTACCATGGAAGAAAAATTCAACAATCAGTTGCCCTTCCTTGACGTTGAATTTACAAAACTGGCAGACGGGAAGATAAAGACAACGGTCTACCGTAAGGCAACTAACATCAGGCGCGTTGAGGCGTAGACCATTAAGTTTTTCAAAGAAATGTACGGCCGAGCGCACCGTTGTGTCGGAGCCTGATGTGACGAGCTGCAAGACCGGCGGTGGAAAAACCGAGAATGTGTCCAGAAGCCGCACAATGTTCCACCACCAACGAGAGTCGATCCATCCTTCTCATTTTCCCTGCGTGCTTGTTCATG